CCCTAGGTAACCCATTCCAGTGCTTCACCACCCTCCTAGTGAAAAAGTTTTTCCTAATATCCAACCTAAACCTCCCCCACTGCAACTTGAGACCATTACTCCTTGTTCTGTCATCTGGTACCACTGAGAACAGTCTAGATCCATCCTCTTTGGAACCCCCTTTCAGGTAGCTGAAAGCAGCTATCAAATCCCCCCCTCATTCTTCTCTTCTGCAGACTAAACAATCCCAGTTCCCTCAGCCTCTCCTCATAAGTCATGTGCTCCAGCCCCCTCATCATTTTTGTTGCCCTCCGCTGGACTCTTTCCAATTTTTCCACATCCTTCTTGTAGTGTGGGGCCCAAAACTGGACACAGTACTCCAGATGAGGCCTCACCAATGTCGAATAGAGGGGAATGATCACGTCCCTCGATCTGCTGGCAATGCCCCTACTTATACAGCCCAAAATGCCGTTAGCCTTCTTGGCAACAAGGGCACACTGTTGACTCATATCCAGCTTCTCGTCCACTGTAACCCCTAGGTCCTTTTCTGCAGAACTGCTGCCTAGCCACTCGGTCCCTAGTCTGTAGCTGTGCATGGGATTCTTCCGTCCTAAGTGCAGGACTCTGCACTTGTCCTTGTTGAACCTCATCAGATCCTCATCCATCCAGCCGAACCCAATGGCCCCGGAGACAAACGGGACACAAAGCAGCCCTGACCTTACTGCTCCACGGGCAGTGCTAGGCCTGTGTGGAGCAGGAGTGGGGTCTAGTAGTTAGAGCAGGGGGGGCTGGGAGCCAGGACTCCTGGGTTCTTCCTGGCTCTGGGAGGCGAGTGGGGGCTAGTGGTTAGCCCCTCTCTCATGCTCACACACACCCAGCGGCCCGGCCCCTCTCTCATGCCTCTGCTGGCCCCTCATGGGATAAGAGGGAAGGTTCTCTCATGGATTGGTAACTGGTTAAAAGACAGGAAACAAAGGGTAGGAATAAATGGTCAGTTCTCAGAATGGAGAGAGGTAAATAGTGGTGTCCCCCAGGGGTCTGTTCTGGGCCCAGTCCTATTCAACATATTCATAAATGATCTGGAAAAAGGGGTAAACAGTGAGGTGGCAAAATTTGCAGATGATACAAAACTACTCAAGATAGTTAAGTCCCAGGCAGACTGCAAAGAGCTACAAAAGGATCTGTCAAAACTGGGTGACTGGGCAACCAAATGGCAGATGAAATTCAATGTTGATAAATGCAAAGTAATGCACAGAATCCCAACTCTATGTATACAATGGTGGGGTCTAAATTAGCTGTTACCACTCAAGCCAGAGATCTTGGAGTCACTGTGGATAGTTCTCTGAAATCATCCACTCAATGTGCAGCGGTGTCAAAAAAGTGAACAGGATGTTGGGAATCATTAAGAAAGGGATAGATAATAAGACAGAAAATATCATGTTGCCTCTATATAAATCCATGGTACGCCCACATCTTGAATACTGCGTGCAGATCTGGCCGCCCCATCTCAAAAAAGATCTATTGCAATTGGAAAAGGTTCAGAAAAGGGCAACAAAAGTGATTAGGGGCATAGAACAGTTTCCATATGAGGAGAGATGAATCAGACTGGGACTGTTCAGCTTGGAAAAGAGATGACAAAGGGGCGATATGCTAGAGGGCTATAAAATCATGACTGGTGTGGAGAAAGTAAATCAGGAAGTGTTATTTACGCCTTCTCATAACACAAGAACTAGGAGTCACCCAATGAAATTAACAGGCAGCAGGTTTAAAACAAACAAAAGGAAGTATTTCTTCACACAATGCACAGTCAACCTGTGGAACTCCTTGCCCAAGGATGTTGTCGTCACAGACTCACAGATCGTGCCCACTCTTGGCCCCGTGCAGTCCGTGGGGGGTGCCCCTATTAGTGAGACAGCCCTTCTCCGGGGGTCCACTCTCTCCCGGGGTCAGGCCCCTCCACCTCCTGGAGCCGCACCTCTCTGAGCCTTAGCACATCTGTCTCTCGCCGTGGGCCCCCTCAGGGAGTCCACTCGCTCTGGACCCCCGGGGCCTCCACCCCTGAAGGGAATAATGCCCCCCCCCCCCGTTCTCTAGCCCAGAGCGACTCTCAGCACAGGAAACTCTCAGGGCCTCAGGCCTGGCCTCCCTCAGCCCAGCACATCCCAGTCTCCCCAGCATCCAGGTGGGCTCTGCCTGCCCCCCTCTCCAGCCCAGAGCCCCCCTGCTTCCCAGCTGGGCATCTGATATCACCGGCCCCAGGTCCCGCCTCTGTCCATTGTCTTCTCTCCGGGTAAACAGGGTTGTAAACAGGGTCGCCTGGGCCTCCTCTCCTCTCCGCCCTCCTCTGGCCCCTCTGGCTGGAACCGGCTGGTCAGGTCACCGGGGTCCTCTCCCCGCAGCCCATTGTCCTCCCACTGGCCAGAACCGGCTGCTCGGGTCACCAGGTCACCAGTCGCTGGGGTGTCCCTCCTCCAGGCCATTGGCCGGGGTCCCAAGTTCCCTCTCCGGTCCTCTGTACCAACAAACTCCCTCTCCCCTCCCTCGTTAAACCAGTAACCCCCAGGGACACTGAGTCCCACCCCCTCTGCATGCAACCCACTGGAAAAACAAGGAAAACACAAGAAAATCCCCCACTCCGTCACAGTTGTGAAGGCCAAGGCCATAACAGGGTTCAAAAAGGACTAGATACATTCACTGAGGGTAGGTCCATCAGTGGCTATTAGCCAGGATGGGCAGGGATGGTGTCCCTAGTCTCTGTTTGCCAGAAGCTGGGAATGGGCGACAGGGGATGGATCACTTGATGATTCCCTGGTCTGTTCATTCCCTCTGGGGCACCTGGCACTGGCCACTGTCGGAGGACAGGACACTAGGCTAGATGGACCCTTGGTCTGACCCGGTCTGGCCGCTCTTGTGTTCTCTCTCACGCCCCCGCCGCCCCCAGGACAACTTTGGCTACGACCTGCCGGCGGTGGAGGCAGCCATGAAGAAGCACGAGGCCATCGAGGCGGACGTCTCGTCCTACGAGGAGCGCATCCAGGTGGTGGTGGAGCTGGCGCTGGCCCTGGAGGCCGAGGGTTACTACGACGTGCGGCGCATCAGCGCCCAGAAGGGCAGCATCCTGCGCCAGTGGGGGCTGCTGACCGAGCTGGTGGGCGCCCGGCGGGCCCGCCTGGAGCAGAGCCTGGCCCTGCAGACCATCTTCCAGGAGATGGTTTACATGATCGACTGGATGGAGGAGATGCAGGTGGGCAGGGAGCGGGGGGTAGCCTGCTAGCGGCCTGGGGGGGCTGGGCCCAGTTTAAACCAGAGCCCACGACCTGGGGGAGCGAAGGCTCCGGTGTGAACTGGCGCATGAGGCCTGGGGGAGGGACGGGTTTGGCCTGGTGCCTGTCCCAGTGCCACAGCAGGACGGCTGCGATTTGCAGCTGGCTTCCCCGGCTGTGCCTGGGTTTGGCACCATCTGCTCCATGGGCGCCCGCTTGGCAGGTCTCCGCTTGGGCCTGGGGACCCTGGGGCTTCGCTCTGTCGTGACATGGGGGCCTGGTCCGGAGAGGCGGAGAGAGGCTGGGGGGCAGAAATGCAGTGCGGGCTGGCAGCACTGGGAACTGCCACTGCCCGCGGGGGGACCTTGGGCACGTCCCTCACCCTCGCTGGGCCTCAGTTTCCTCCCAGCGGCGATTACCGTGGCTCCCAGGAAGCGGCTGCCAGGTCCCTGCAGCCCCTGGGCACGTGGGAGCTGCGGGGCCGGTACTGGGGGTGGGGGCAGTGCGTGGAGCCTCCCTGGCTGCCCATGCGCCACGGGCCTGCAGGGACCTGGCGGCCGCTTCCGGGCGTCGCATGGAGCCAGAGCAGGCAGGGAACCGGCCTTAGCCCCAGAGCCACCAACCGGACTAGTAGCAGCGGTGCCGACCGGAGCTGCCAGGATCCCTTTCCGACCGGGCGTTCCCATTGAAAACTGGGCACCTGGCAACCCTAACCCCCCCCGTCCCCCCTCGCCCGCCAGAGCCCCGAGCCCCCCGCGGCCAGAAGAGCCCAGCCTGAACCTCTCTGACCCCCGGCCCGCCCGCCCCCGCTGTCCCGAGCCCCAGTTTGCCCGCCCCAGCTACCGTGAGCCCCGCCCACCCCCGCTGCCCTGAGCCCCGGCCCGCCCGCCCCAGCTACCCTGAGCCCCGGCCCGCCGGCTGACCTGCCCTAGCCGTGCCAGCCATCCCGAGCACCGGCCCATCCGCCCCTAGTCCCAGGCCACTGGCTGGCCTGACCCCCGGCCCAAACCTCTGGCCACCAGCCCAAGCACGGGCCTGATGCCCTGGCCACCAACCAGTCCGAGTTGCCCCTGGCTGCTGGCCGGCCAGAGTCACCCCATCAGGCCCCTGGGAGAAGAGAATCGTGTCAGGCCGGTAACTTCCTGCAGGCGTTACAATAGGGGCCTCGGGGCCTGAGCCAAGGAGCGGGGCCCCGTGGTGCCAGGCGCTGTACGTAACAGAGAGGCAGCCCCTGTCTGGGGTCGCTCGCAGCTGGATCCCAGCCCAGTGGTTCATCCTGCCAGGCCCCGCTGCTGTCGAGGGAGGTGGGGAAGCACCTGCTCGAGGTGGAGGACCTGCTGCAGAAGCACGCCCTGCTGGAGGCCGACGTAGCTGCTCAGAGCGAGCGGGTGCAGGCGCTCAACCAGGCCGCCCTGAAATTCTGCGAGTTGGCGGGTAAGTGCGGGCTGGGGAGGGGTCTCCCGACCCCTGCGGTGGGGGCCGAGTGTTGGCGGGGCCGGGCCGCGCTTTGCCCGGGTCCGAACGACAGCAGCTTATCCCAGCCACTGGTCCCATCGCCAGCGGGGCCCAGACCTCAGCTCCTGTAGCCGGCTGAGACATCTCCTAGCCCTCTGCAGAGAACGTGCAGGCCCAGGTGGGCTATGATGGGGAGGAAGTGGGGGGGCTGGGAGCCAGGACTCCTGGGTTCTCCGGGTCTGTAGCCAACAGGCCAGGCCGGGAACTGAGTGCACAAGGCACTGTGGGAGAGATTCCTGTGCAAAGCCATGGGCACCCGGCTCCCAACAAGGTCTGGGGTCGAGCAGACAATTTTCAGAACAGACGAGGGCTGTACTGGGGAGGGGAGGGGAGTGGGGGCTAGTGGTTAGAGCAGGGGGGCTGGGAGCCAGGACTCCTGGGTTCTATCCGAGCTCTGGGAGGGGAGTGGGGTCTGGTGGTTAGAGCGAGGGGCTGTGAGCCAGGACTCCTGGGTTCTCTCCTGGCTCTGGGAGGGGAGTGGGTGTGACGATGCGGTTCTGGCGGAACCCAACTGAGAGTGCCAACTCAGGACAAATTGCTCAAACAGGGCAGTTACAGCCCAAGGCTGGGGTTTTTTCCACCTCTAAGGCAAACCAAACCAGCCAGACTAGGAGGACTTCAGTCTCACCCCACTGGCTAACCGCAAGTCTCACAAGCAACCTCCTTAGACACTCCAGTTTCCCAGTATTACCACCAGTGCCACTCGTTATGGGGACAAATGGTTATGAAAACCAATACCCCAGTAAAAGAAAAAGGTTCTCCTGATCCCAAAGGACCAAGCCCCAGACCCAGGTCAATATACAGATCAGATCTTACCCACAAATCACGCTGTTGCCAATCCTTTAGAATCTAAAATCTAAAGGTTTATTCATAAAAGGAAAAAGATAGAGATGAGAGTTGGAATTGGTTAAATGGAATCAATTACATACAGTAATGGCAAAGTTCTTGGTTCAGGCTTGCAGCAGCGATAGAATAAACTGCAGGTTCAAATCGAGTCTCTGGAATACATCCCCCGCTGGGATGGGTCCTCAGTCCTTTGTTCAAAGCTTCGGCTTGTAGCAAAGTTCCTCCAGAGGTATGAAGCAGGATTGAAGACAAGATGGAGATGAGGCATCAGCCTTATATAGTCTTTTCCAGGTGTAAGAACACCTCTTTGTCCTTACTGTGGAAAATTACAGCAAAATGGAGTCTGGAGTCACATGGGCCAGTTCCTGCATACCTTGCTGAGTTACAAGGCGTATCTGCCTTCTCTCAATGGGTCCATTGTATAGCTGATGGTCCTTAATGGGCCATCAAGCAGGCTAGGCAGAGCTAACACCAATTTGTCTGGGATGTCACCCAGCAGCATAGCACAAGTGTGAAATACAGACAGTATAGAGCCAATATTCCTAACTTCAACTACAAAATTGATACACACATATAGACAGCATAATCATAACTAGTAAACCATAACCTTGTCTTAGACACCCCATTTGACCCCCTTTACACAAGATCTGGGTGCCACTACAGGACCTTGGTTGCAACAATGATCTATATGGTCCCAGATTATATCAATAACGTCACAGTGGGGTCTAGTGGTTAGAGCAGGGGGGCTGGGAGCCAGGACTCCTGGGTTCTCTCCCCAGCTCTGGGAGGGGAGTGGGGTCTAGTGGTTAGAGCAGGGGGGGGCTGGGAGTCAGGACTCCTGGGTTCTATCCCAGCTCTGGGGGAGGTGTGGGGGCTGGTGGATTAGAGCTGGGGGCTGGAGCCAGGACCCTGGCAGTGCAGGTCTTTCCCCCAGCAGCAATCAGCGGCTAAGAGCCGGGCCCAGCGTCTCTCCTGCTCCCCTGCCCCAGGTTACCAGCCCTGCGACCCCCAGATCATCCGCAACCGCGTGACCCACGTGCAGACGTGCCTGGAGGAGCTGTGCCAGCGGGCGGCCCAGCGGCGCACGGCGCTGGAGGCCTCCCGCCACCTGTGGGCCTTCTTCCGGGAGCTGGAGGAGGCCGAGGCCTGGGTGCGGGAGAAGGAGCAGATCCTGGCCTCCAAGCCGTGCGGCAAGGACCTGAGCAGCGTGCTGCAGCTGAGCGGGCAGCACAAGCTGATGCTGGGGGAGCTGGGCGGGCGCCGGGCCCTGCTGCACCAGGCCGTGAAGAAGGGGGAGCAGCTGCTGGGCACCCAGCGCCCCGGCGCAGCCCGGCTGCAGGAGAAGCTGCGGGAGGTGCGGCAGCGCTGGAAGAAGCTGGAGGAGGTGACGGGGATGCACCAGCAGAAGCTCCAGGAGGCCTTGAGCTTCTACCAGTTCAGCGCCGAGACGGACGACCTGCTGGCCTGGCTGCAGGACACCTACCGCCTGGCCTCCAGCGACGACTTCGGGCACGACGAGTGCTCCAGCCAGGCGCTGCTCCGCAAGCACGCCGCCGTGGCGCAGGAGCTGGAGCGGCACCGGGCGCCCGTGCTGGCCCTGCGCGCCCAGCTGGCCCGGCTGGCCCCCCAGCACCACCAGGTGGTGGACGTGCAGATCCGCATCGTGGAGGTGGAGCAGCTCTACGGGGAGGTGGCCGAGGTGGCCGTGCTGCGGCACCAGTGGCTGCAGGACGCCCTGGCCGTGTACCGCATGTTCGGCGAGGTCCGCGCCTGCGAGGGCTGGCTGGACGAGAAGGAGCAGTGGCTCTCCGGGATGCACGTGCCACAGGAGCTGGAGGACGTGGAAGTGGTGCAACACAGGTCTGGCGCCCGCGGTTCTGTTCCCCGCTGGGGGGCTGGGAGCCAGGACGCCTGGGTTCCATTCCCAGCTCTGGGAGGAAGGGCTGGGAGCCAGGTGGGAGGGGAGTGGGGTCTAGTGCAGGGGGGAGGGGGCTGGGAGCCAGGACGCCTGGGTTCCATTCCCAGCTCTGGGAGGAGGGGGGAAGGGTGGGGAGCCAGGACGCCTGGGTTCTGAATGCCCCGTATGATTCTGTTCTGCCCACGAGCCCCTGTGCGCCTTGGGCAGGTTTGAGAGCCTGGACCAGGAGATGAACAGCGTGATGGGGCGCATCCTGGACGTGAACGAGACCGTGCAGCAGCTGGTGGAGGGTGGCCACCCCAGCGCGTCCGAGGTGCAGTCCTGTCGGGACCACCTGAACGGCAGGTACCTCCCCCGTGGGGCTGGGGCCGGGGGGAGGCTTCGGAAGGTGTGTGTGGGGGGGGGGGGGCGGGGGATCAGAGGCGGGGCTGGGTTGGATTCCCAGCTGTCCGGGTCCCTGCGTGTGTCAGGGCCGCGTCTGTAATACACGGATAGTGGCCCTGTCTGTGCCTGGAGATCGATGGGCTCCTGGCTCTGTTCGCTGGGTAACCCCCCACCCAGTTCCCTGGCCCGGAGTTCAAGGAGTCGGTGGGTGGGAGCCAGGAGCAGGCCTAGGGCCCGTGTGCAGAGGCAGAGACGTGGGCACCCATCCGCAAGGGAGCCGGCCTAGAGCCGGGAGCGCCACATCCACCGCCGAGCCCAGGCAGCCGAGAAGGGGTCTGTCCGTCTGCCCGGGGACAGTGCTGCTTTGCGGGCGTATTGAACGCCCCCAGCCGCTCCTCCCCGGCGCACGGCTGACTCCGGCCGGCATGGCTCCTTCTCCATGGGGCTCGCCGGGGCCGTGCGGCTGGGTCCCAGCAGTGTCGGGAACCGCTCCCCCCCAGAAGTGGGGCCTGCTTTGGGGTTCACACCAGCAGCGCTAGGTGGGAGAGGAAACGCTGGCAGAACCGCTGCGCTCCCAGGACCGGCGCCTCTGCCGACGGCACAATTCCGCTTTGGAACGTGCCCAGGAGCTGCTGCTGCCCGGTCTCACTGCAACCCCTTGTCACGGACTCACACCTCGTGCCCCCTCTTGGCCCCGTGCGGTCCGTGGGGGGTGCCCCTTTCAGTGCGATAGGTCCACTCTCTCTTGGGGTCAGGCACCTCCACCTCCTGGAGCCGCACCTCTCTGAGCCTCAGCACGTCTGTCTCTGCCGTGGGCCCCCTCAGGGAGTCCACTCGCTCTGGACCCCCGGGGCCTCCACCTCCGAAGGGGTTGATGCAACCCTGTTCTCTAGACCGGAGTGACTCTCAGCCAGCATAACACAGGGGGGTTTATTGAGCGTTGAACCCAGCACAGGAAACTCTCTGACCCTCAGGCCTGGCCTCCCTCAGCCCAGCACATCCCAGTCTCCCCTGCATCCCGGTGGGCTCTGCCTGCTCCCCCTCTCCAGCCCCGAGCCCCCCTGCTTCCCAGCTGGGCATCTGATACCCCCGGCCCAAGCCCCGCCTCTGTCCATTGTCTTCTCTGCAGGGAAACAGGGTTGTAAACCGGGTCACTGGGCCTCCTCTCCTCTCAGCCCTCCTCTGGCCCCCTCGGGCTGGAACCGCTGGTCAGGTCACCGGGGTCCTCTCCCCGCAGCCCATTGTCCTCCCACTGGCCAGAACCGGCTGCGACTCCTGCGCTAGGTCTCCGGGTCGCCAGGTCACCAGTCGCTGGGGTGTCCGTCCTCCAGGCCATCAGCTGGGGTCCCAAGTTCCCTCTCCGGTCCTCTGTAACAACAAACTCCCTCTCCCCTCCCTCGTTAAACCAGTAACACCAGGAACACTGAGTCCCACCCCCTCTGCATGAAAATCCCCCACTTCGTCACACCCCTGCCCACTCCTGGCTCCTTAAAAACCTCTAAGGAAGGAGATTCCACCACCTCCCTAGGGAACCCATTCCAGTGCTTCACCACCCTCCTAGTGAAACAGTTTTTCCTAATATCCAACCTAAACCTCCCCCACTGCAACGTGAGACCACTGCTCCTCGGTGGTTTGGGGCTCTTGAGGGGGCTGATTGGCAGAAATTGC